GAGTTAGCTCCCGCCCCCCTCCGCCGCCGACAATCACGCGCCTGCCTTATTTTGCTGGCTGGGCCGGTTTGTGGGCCTTTAGGTTACAGGCCGGTCACAGGTTTGGGGCTTTTCTCTGCAGCCAGGAAGGCTCAAAACTTCATAATGAAAAAAGAAAAAAAAAAAAAGAGGAGGGGCTGGGGCGCTTGTAGGGCTGAGGAGAAACTCCAAACGTGACACGGCTTGCAAGAATTTGCAACACTGCTGGAGAGATTGGGCCATGTCTACCTCCCACTCACAATCATAACTTCCCTGTGGCAATCCATCACGGCAGCTGCTGGCAGGGCAAGAGAAGAGCAGGGCAGTATGTTGGTGCCTGCTCTGTTGGTCTCTCTTAGTGGATGCATAAGATGCCTTCAGGTAGATTTGAACCTTGGACCTCCGTGTAGAAACCACTACAGCTGGAGTGCTAGAGCCAGATAGCTCATCAGCTAGGCCAGCGGTGTCCAAACTTTTTTCAAAGAGGGCCAGATTTGATGAAGTGAACATGCGTGAGGGCCGACCATTTTGCCTGACATTCTTTGAACCATTAAAATTAAATGCAAATTAACTATTTTATGCAAAGTTTATTGCAAACGGCATACTTTTCATTTCGTCACATGGATGACAAATCTAAACAGGTGTTAAATCACTCTGCCTTTCATATCTGAAGGCCAGATGAAAAAAAAATCCAGGAAGCTGAAATATATGTCAGGAACATTGTAAAGTACATTACATATTATTGGTAATAAAGGTTGTCTGTCAACTTTTAAGTTCAAAAAATATGAACAGGAACATAACACCAAGTATACATGTTGTGTCCAAATATATTTATAACTGATTTAGACCAACTGACATTAACTGAGATTTTACAATGTATTCATCTCAATACATATGGATTCGTTGGGGGGCCATAAAAGATAGATATTGCCAAATTACCTGGGGGGCCATATTAAACCGGAACACGGGCTGCAATTGGCCCACGGGCCGGACTTTGGACATGCCTGAGCTAGGCTATAGAGCTCCCTTGGTCTTAGCTCTGTCTGTAAGTGGTCTAAGTGCCACTGCATAGGACAGTGAAGCACATTAGGTGTGCAGGTTACATATGCACAGTTGGCCCAGTCATTTGACAGTGCTAGCTAGGGTTGCCAGGTTTTGAACTGGACAGTCCAATATTTGAGCTTTCTGTCTGGGAAACAAATTGAGAAAATATCAATGTCCGGTATTTTCCAAATAAGATGTAATGTAGATTGTGATGTAATGACAAGTGTGTCTGGTACTTTTGTTAAAACCATCTGGCAACCCTTGCCAACAGCAGCCAGGTAAAGAGCTGGTGAAAGTCAGTCAGCGGGCACTCTTCAAGGACATGCAGCATAGTCTGAAGTTGACTTCATCTACATTGCGGGTCGTGAGAGAACCCCCCTTTGAAAAGACAGGACACACTTTTGAAACCGGTTCAGGGATGAGCAGTGGTGCCTTTGCAGATGGTTGGGGAGGTGGCCAGAGAGTGACTGACAAGTGTCATCGCTGGTCACTCGTTATGCCAAGCAGATTCATATCTTTTGGTGGCATAAGGCAGTGGTGCTCAACCTTTTTCCATTCGTGATCTCAGGAAAATTTTTGTTGAGAAAAAAAAAATGCCACGGGAGCATTTTTTGTGGCCCCTTTATTTTAAAGCGCTGGTCTGCTGCCCGGAGCCAGGAAAAGAAAATGCAGGCTGGCTGCTGTGACCCCGCCCCCAGGAATACAGGCCACTGTGACCCTCAGGAAGACAGTTTGCGTATCACTGGCATAAGCAGGGCTCGACAAATACATTTGCCTGCTCGCCCGTGGTGAGTCGATTTTGCCAGCTGATGAGTGGGGGCGGACTGTCACAGTGGGCCATTGTAACAGGCTGGCCGAAGCTGGCACTATGGGCAGCACAGCTCCATCCGAGGAGGCGGGGTGACGGCAGACGATTTTACCCCACACCTGGCTCCCGCCGCCCATTCCCCACGCCGCCCCTCCACCCCGGATCCCCTGCTCTCCCTCTGGCTCTGCGCCACCCTTGCACTCTGCACCCTGCTCCCCCCGATCCCTGCCCCCCCAGTTCTGTGCTGCCCATTCCTTGCACTGCCCCTAGACCTTGATCCTTCTGCCCCTCCCGTTCCCCACGTCCCATTCCCCGTGCCTCCACCGCACCCTGCACACTGCTTCCCCCCTCTCCCCGATCCCTGCGTCCCTCTGGCTCTGTGCCTCCCTTTCCCCGTGCCACCCCTGTCCCCTCCCCCCCACACTGTTCCCTGTACCCCTCTGGCTCTATGCTGTCCCTGCACCCTGTTTCCCCTGTGGGTCGGGAGTGAGGGGTGCTTGTCCATAGGGAGGGGTTGGACAGGCCAGGGAAAAGGCTGCTGTGACCCAGCAGCAGTGAAAGGGGGAGTTCACTTGAAGCGCCTTTGCCTTTATGGGAAAAAATGAATGAAAATGCTATTTGCTATTTATAGGGCTAAAATGCTGGGACAAAAATGAAAACAAACAAACAAAAACCCATTGCAAAATGTAAACTTGTAAAAGAAAACTAAAAAAGTGTGTGGGGGGGAATGTTTTGCTTGGGGCAGCAAAAAACCTAGAGCTGTCCCTGGGGGAGAGGAAGGGGCTGGGCTGGGCTGTGGGGAGAGGCGGGGAGGGGAAAAATATGGGGAATGGGCTTGTGCTGAGGAGGGGGCAGGGGAGGGGAGGAGGTCAGGAGAAGAAGAAGAAGAAAGGGGAAGGCACCAAGGGACAGGGGTGCAGGAGAGACAAATCCCAGGGGGCCAAGTGGAGACAATGAGGAAAAGGGCAGGAGGGGAGGTGTCAGTGGGAGGGGGGACAAGGTGATGCTGGGAGAGGAGAGGAGAGGAGAGGAGAGGAGAGGAGAGGAGAGGGTAAGGGCATTGGGGGCTAGAGGGGGAAGGGGGAGATGCTGGGAGAAGGCTTGAAAGAACGGGTGGGCATGAGAAAGGTGGGGATGGAGCAAGGCATGTGTGAGGGCACAGGGGCGTGAGGGGAACGGGGGCAGAGATTGGTGAGGGGATGGGCATCAGGGAAAAAGAGGGCAAAGAGGGCAGGGGCAGTGAGGGAAGAGGGAGGCACCAAAAGGGTGCAGGGCTAAGGGAAGGTGCAGGTGCCAGGGGATTCTGGGGATGAAGCAGAAGAGCAGACACCTGCAGGGGAGGGACCAGCACCAGAGGAGAGAGGCAGGGCAGGGGTAGAGGGAGGTGTAAGAAGAGGAGCTGAAGAGGGGTAGCTCACATGATCAGAGTGGGGCTACTGGAGGAGAGGGCACAGGGGGGAGAGAAGGGCTGGCGGAGGGGGGCAGGTCTCAGGAGGGCTGAGGGCAGTGAGAAGGGCAGGAGTCAGGACAGCAGAGGAGGATGAGGGGTTGGGGGCAGCAGGCACCAGGGGAGCTGATGGAGCAAGGAGAGGAGACATGGCAGCAGAGGGAAGAGGTAGACATTTATAAGATATTTATTAATAACTTATTAGTAATTACTGTTCTTATTCTTATTAGGAATTTATGCCATTAAAAAAACACTTTGAGGGGGGAGGGTGGCGAGTCCCTTTTTTGTCTGGCGAGTAGGGTTTTCCATAATTTGTCGAGCCCTGGGAGAAGAGCAGCAAGTTGTCAGGTGTTTGACGAGAGCTGAGTACAGAGGCAAGTTGCTGTCCTCGTGGCTCTTGGCCAAGATTATGATGGAGGCCCCTTGCAGTGAATAAGGAGTGGTGGTGTGTTACTTAACATTGGCAATGGCAGTTAAAGTAACAATGTGCATTGCTTTTTAAGCACTACATTGAGCAGCCTCATGTGGGAGAAGCAACACCAGACAGTGGCGCATCCTGTGCTGTCAAGCAGCAGAGGGCAAGAACTGACCTTCTAAGCGTCCCTCCCTGAGTGTAGAACTAAAGATGGTTAAAGATTGATTCAGTAGCTAGAAACGAGGCAGAGAGAACACTATGAGCTGCAGGCCAGCTTTGTGGACCACCTGCGGTGTATGCAGGGCTGTCCTTAGGATGTATGGGGCCCTATGCAGTTTTATTAAATTGGTGCCCCCAGAAAACCCTCCCCCAATTGCTTACACACACTGAGCTTTGTATGCAACAGATGTTGTGGCAGCCTGGGTGAGAGGCCGGAGGGAAAGGATAAGACAGCAAAGGATAGGGAGCCTGGCCTGTTACCTATCAGCTCTGTGTTCTTGAAGAACCAGGGCACAGTATCCAGCCCATCTGACTCATGGAAGACCTTCCCCGCCAGCCTCTGTTTGACCCAAAGCCAATGAGAAAAGGTTAAGGAAACTCCCCTGGTCTCATTTGCATCCAAGATGAAAAACTGAGATTTGAAGGCTAGAGACCAGGCACTGAATTCTGGGACCAGGAAAGCAGGGGAGCACTGCATGATGGGGGATCTCTGCTCCAGTTGGTAATGAACCCCACACCTGTGCACACCCAACTCAGAAGTTATCAGACCAATTCTAGTAATACATTTTCTCTTGCTATCCAAAATACTGAAGCTGCCTAATGGCATTATGAACTTCCTCGAAGGGACACTGCCCATAACCAGAAATGATCAGTTCCTCTTGTCTAACCTGAACAAAATAATTTTGTGTATTCCATTGAATCATCAGTTTACCCAGAAACAAATCTGTTTTTCTCCCTTGACCTTTCCCTTCAAAAACACTTACCTGAGCTCAGGAAGGGTGGGGTTTGGGGTTTTTTTTATACCTACATCCAAGATCTGCATCTTTTCCATTGGGACTTCATCTTCTGACTGATCATGCTGGGGGCTCTGCCTCCAGTCCTCCACACTCTCAGCTACTACCACCGCTACCTGGGAACCCCAATCCAGTCAAGCTTCATGGAGTGGT